GTTTACCCTACTCCGACCTGGAACTCCCTGTTCAGATCCTGATGTCCGTAATTATGCCAGCTGGACCCCCAATCACCTACGTTTACCCAGCAATGAGTCCACAATATTTGGGGTAAAGAGCCAAGAGACTCGCAGCGACTGGCTGTTGCAGGTGAGACCCCCTATCCCCTGAACCTCCCAAACCTTGAACCTCCTAAACCTTGAACCTCCTAAACCCTGAACCTCCTAAACCCTGAACCTCCTAAACCCCGAGCCCCCCCCAGACCCTATAAAGCCCTACAAACCCCTAAACCATAAACCCTCAACCCCAAACCCTAAACGCTAAACCCAGAAAGCCCGATCAGTGGCCTCCCAGTGGCGGTGGCCGCGCTTGGCTGCGCGGAGCGCCACCTTTCTTCTCCAGCTGCGCAGAACAGCACCGTGTCAACCCTCAACCCTCAACCCTCAACCCTCAACCCTCAACCCTCAACCCTCAACCCTAAACCTTACTGGACTTGGTAGCCTTGGGGGTGGAGGGGCCCAGTAGAGGGTCTTCGGAGGGCATGATGGGCTTCAGCGCCTGTCGGGGCTTTAGGGCTTGGGGGTTCTAGGATTTTTTGGGGTTTAGGGCTTTCAGGGTGTTGAGGGTTTAGGGGGCTTTAGGGGTTTTAGGGTTTAGGGGGTAGGGGTTTTAGTGCTTTGGGGTTCTGGGTTCGAGGGCTTTGAGGGTTGAATCCAAACATCTGGGTTCCAGCGGTCCCAACGTGGGGGACTGACCTGACATTGGGCTACAAGGGGCATAAAGAAAAAGGTTGCTGTTAGGGCTAAGGGGTCAAACGCCTGGGCCCTAAGGGTATTGAAGACCTAAACCCTTGGCCCTTGACCCTAAATAGTACCCTAAAACCCGAACCCTCAAACCCTAAACCCTAAACCCTGAACCCTGAACCCTGAACCCTAAACCCTAAACCCTAAATAGACCCTCGATAGAGAGGGCTCGGGAGGTCTTCAGGAACCCGTGGAGCTTTGGCCCTGATTTCAAGACGGCTTCAAGGTGAAATGGGCGTTCTCTGTTTCAGGAACGTAGAGTCCCCCAAAAGGGCCCGTAAGTTAAATCAACGCCCGCATGAACCCTAAACCCTAAACCCTAAACCCTAAACCCTAAACCCTACAGGGCAGCCCAATAACCATATTGTAATTAGGGCCATTAGGGGGAAGCAGGGTGCCCTCTTTCGGGTTGGTTGCTTTAAAACGCAAAACGGTACCACTGGGCTACCAAGTGCCCTAAGCCCTACACAAAAACGAAAATTATATTTAAAAACCTATACGAACCCTAAACCCTAACCCCTAACCCCTAACCCCTAACCCCTAAACCCTAAACCCTAAACCCTAAACCCTGGACCCTAAACCCTAAACCCTAAAGCCTAAACCCGAAACCCTAAACCCTAAACCCTAAACCCTGCAGCTGCCCGACACGAGGTCCCGGCTGGCCATGCTAGGCCGGCTCACTGCGCTGGCGCCGTCGCCATTTTGCCTGTTGCAACCCATCCAGGGTTTAGGGTTTAGGGTTTAGGGTTTAGGGTTTAGGGTTTAGGGTTTAGGGTTTAGGGTTTAGGGTTTAGGGTTTAGGGTTTAGGAACCCAAGAGCTTCATGTCCAGAACTGCAGGAGATGAGACCTTCAAAACCGCCCTATCGTCGGTCTTGCCACGTGCTCCCCATTAAAGCATGGTATCGCAAAGGATCTGTGCATATCAAAAGACATGGCGACACCGAACTCCTTTGCGTACAGCGGGGCTGTAGCCCTCAGCCATTGCGCCTCATGGACCCTCACACTCTCAAGCGTCGCAGCGCTTGCACGCTGCACAAAGACTGGGGGCTAGAGACTCCCTGAACCCCAAACCCTCCCTCCCCCCCCCTCCCCCCCACATGAAAAAGCACAGACACACACACACACACACAACGCAACGCAACGCAACACAACGCAACGCAACGCAACGCAACACCACACCACACCACACAACACACAACACACACAATTCAACACACAACCCACACAAAGACACTTGAGGGTTCTCACATGGACCTTAACAACCTTCGGACTTGGCTGACCAGCTCCTTCCCCGAGAGCCCACCTCGTGCTGACAACAACCCCTCACCAAAAATCGAAAGTTGGCGTGGGAGGGCTTTTGGGGGGACTTGTCCTTGAGGTGTTTGTTGGCTTGGGCTCTGACATGTCTAACTTGAAGCTCTTTCGGTTCGGGAGGTTCGTGCTACTGCCGCGACCTTCGGCTTTTGCTCTCTGGAGCGAAGCCTGAGTTCTCAAGCCCTCCATTTCCCAAGTTCCTCAACCCTAAAACCCAAACCCTAAACCCTAAACCCTAAACCCTAAACCCTAAACCCTAAACCCTAAACCCTAAACCCTAAACCCTAAACCTAAACCCTAAACCCTAAACCCTAAACCCTAAACCCTAAACCCTAAACCCTAAACCCTAAACCCTAAACCCAGCGCCTCGCCAGGAAAGCTTGGCGCTTTCGTTCCCAAACCTCGTCGCGGCGAGAATGCGCCTCGGAGCGTAGCTGCAGGCCGCGAGGAGTCATGAAGGGCATACCAATAAAGGCTAAACCCTAAACCCTAAACCCTAAACCCTAAACCCCTTATATATCATCAACCCCATGAAAGGCCTTTTTGAAGGGTTGTAGGGTATAATAACCCATGCTGGTATGTGGGTCCGCAGGTACCTGCGATGAGCGCATGAGTAATGCATGAGCTGGCTACGCAGCTTGTGAGCGCGCGGCCATCGCAGAACAGCGCGTCGATGACGGAGGTGACAACTCGGAGGCAAGTAGGGCGATGCTTTCATACATTCCATCCGCTTTGGGAAGTGTTCACATTTCGGCCCGGTGCACTTGTTCACCTCTCATGTTCTGGTGCTAATTTGAAAGCCAGCGCCCTATGCAGCCATGCAGGTCGGTTCGAACTCGCCCTTTCTGCCATCTGGCAAAAGGAAGGGCTGAGGACCCTGCCAATCAGCAGCGACGGCTTGGCGTGTCTAGCAAACCATGGCAGGGTCCGGCACGTGACGGTTCAGTCTCACTACCTTGCATAACTTGCAGGTTGCCTGCGTGGTTGAGCTGGGATGTTCCCTAAACCCTAAACCCCTAACCCTAAAACCCAAAAAAACTCTAAAACCCTAAACCCTGTGGCAGAGCTCAGATGTGTCAGGAGTTCACTAACTGTTTGTTGTAGCACAATTGCATGGGGGCCTGTTGCCTCCGTCGGTATTTGTTTTGCCCAGCCTTCTCCTACAGCTGAGCCGAGCATGCAGAGCCAAGTAATTGGCGCCGGACGGTTTGAGGGGGTTGGTGTTGGGGTATCTCATGTCTCTCATGCGGTCTGCTTCATGAAGCATTCTTGATGTCAGCGTGTGATTTTACGGATGGGTTTGAGGAAACAGCAGAAACCGACCCGATCTGAGAGCCCACCCGCAAAAGTGGTCGAACTCCATGACGCACGCTTTCGTCTGCCTGCAGTACCTTAGCATTGGCATTGGGTCAAAAGAAAGAGGCTGGCCATGCTTTTGGTTGCAAGACTTTGTTTGCACAGGTTGCGGAGTAGGAGGCGGCGACCAGCACCACTGCTACTGTCGAGTCTGAACCGTCTGCATGCACCAACAATTCCCCCCAAGGATTGAAATAAACACCAGCCCCTCACAACTGTTGCGGCCGCTTTAGCATAGGACGCAAATGCTTTGGGACAAGGCGGTGCCCCCTTTGCCGCTTTCCATCAAGCGGTTATTTTCAGCCCATGTTCGGACCTGTGCAGTTCACTCTTGTTCTTTTTTCAACGGTAGAGCAGGGGAAGGCGCTTGTAGAAGGACACCAACTGCTACAAAACCCTGACACACCACAAATGGTTCGGGGCCCTGGCTTTGAGCGCAGGTCCTTCATGACCTGGATTTCAAGGGGGAGGTTGGAGTGCCAGCACCGTCAGCTGCTCACTGTTATGGAGTTCGGGTGGAACGCCAGAGAGGTTGCCAGACCCATGACTGAAAACCCTTCCATACACCCCAAGCCCTAAACCCGGCAAGGAGTTTCTAAGGCGCTGACAAAGGTGACCGTGCAGAGGCGGCTGCAATCAGGAACCTCGTGTGGGGGGGCAGCAAAGCTCCCCAAGAAGTCCGATCTCGGGGCGCGAGTTTGACTTTGACTGAGCCATAAAATTCATAGGTCGTGGGCCCCTCTTTGCTTTAGCCCCAGCCAGAACCCCAAGCCCAAGCCCTAATCCGAGCTATCCTGCCTGCTCATAGCCGGGCTTCTGCAGGGCCCGCAGCAGCTCCTGTGCCAAGGCCGGGGCGGCGGGAAGTGGCATGCTTTTCAGTCCGGTCTAGATGCGATGGGCACTTGAATGGACAGAAAGCCTGACAAGGCTTAGCAGGCTCCAACTCTAAGAACTCCGACCTGACTTGCTAGCACCGCTCTCTCCCCGCAATTTCTCCCTCTCCATCAGGCGAACTCTCTGGGCAAGGTCTCGTCTTCTCTCTCTCGCTTCTTCTGGCGCTGTTTTTGGGCTCATGTCGAAAGCATTCGCGGGTCTCTCCACGGGGGAGGGATGAGGCGATGCTAGAGAGGGCAATTTGCCACATCACCTCACATGGCAGCAATGGCACCGACACTGCATGACCAGAACATCCGGGCGCAAGTCGTAGCATGGGGCGAGAGGAAGTGGTCTTTGAGAGTCTGCTTCGCAATTTAAGGGGAGGATGTCGTGGCTAGCTCCATCAAGACTACATAGTGATACAGGCGTGCCCTTGAAAGGTCAACCTGCAAGTTCTGCGACGTGGAAAAGGACTTTGCCTCTTCGATATGTGCGGATTTGGCTGCCATGGAGCAGGAAATCAGGAGAATTGCTGCTGCTCCTGCTGCTGCTGCAGTTTCTAGTCTTGTTTTAAGCGCAGGACTTCAGCTTTTTGATTGTTCTTTCCCATATTTCCTGGGACCGAGATCGTGACACTTGCGCCCTCGTTCAATCCATGTCTTCTCGAGGCAGGGAGCTGCTCGCATCCAGCGACATCCGCAAGATCCTGAGATACTGGAGAGAATGCCCGCTTCTGTACAGCAATATAGGGGCCTTAAGAATTAGAATAGAGCTTGGGGGGGTTATGATGGTATAATTATAAAGGGGACCATCAGGGAATACGATTAGTAACTATTCCGACCCCTATAGTACATTGTGAACAGCCACACGGACGCCTCTGTGCAACTTCCGTGTCCATCTTTGAGCATGGTATGTGGCAATTTCATGTTCGCGTAGTGCGCAAGCCGAAATGTTCGGCTTCCACAAAACATGCGCAGGTCGGTATGCAGCCTTCCCCTGTTGCGTTGTGGCCCTATGAGTGTGGCTGTCGGGTTGCCCCGGGACAAGTAAGACACTTTTCAAGTTTAGTTCGCGTTAAGCAAAGACCCTAAACCCTAAACCCTAAACCCTAAACCCTAAACCCTAAACCCTAAACCCTAAACCCTGAACCCTAATCTTTGCAACGGGCAGCTTGAGACAGCTGTAGAAGTTGTCGCGCTGGTCGGCATCCTGTCGGCGGCATCAGAGTGGGTTTCTCCATGACTCTCTATCCCAAACACCTCGTTTAGGGTTTAGGGTTTAGGGTTTAGGGTTTAGGGTTCAGGGTTCAGGGTTTAGGGTTTAGGGTTTAGGGTTTAGATGACAATAAGGGACCCGAATAGAGATGCCCAAATAGTAGGATTTTCTCATAGCAAGGACCCCGATAAGGAAAAAATCATTTCGGAAAACTCCCATATGTGATGTTGTCAGAGCTTCAGCAAGGCATGTCATTCATGCTGTCCACCACGGATAACAAGGCTGCAAGGGGTTCTTCACTGGAAGTCATCATGAATGTGCGCAACGCACGCTGAGCATACCGACCTAGCCTCGAACTGGAAACACAGCCGGAAGTCAGTCTCTTTGCTGAAGTCCTTGTTGGCGTGCAATCCAAATCGCAACCCATCCAGCCTCCACACGGCCCTTGTACAAACCTAAGTACCCTATTGATGGGATTGGAGGTATAAGCCCGGGCCCCCTTCCGACCCAACCAACCACCCACACAGTTCCGTTTCCCCCCCCCCCCCCCCCCCCCCCCCCCACCCACCCACCCACTCACCCACACGCGAACACCCCTCAGCGTCAAGCCCAAATCGCACAAACCTTATAGTATAACTTGAACCCTTTAAGTCTCTGCACCCCAAAAGCCGCGAACCCGAGATACCATCCCAACAACGGCTTTCCAAGCCGTGGTGCTACGGCCAAGCACCGGGGTGCCAGGTGTGCCAAGCCCGGGACCTCAATGGGAGGATTCATCCCTCTCTCCTCTCTTGTAGCCATCTTACAATAAAGGGTTTAGGGTTTGAGGACTCAGGGTTTATAATATAGGGCTTAGGGTTTAGGGTAGTACCTACATTCACTGCTCCACTCCCCCACCCCCCCCCTGAGCACCGGTAGCGATAGCGTGCATGGCCTGGGGGCTTGCAGGACGCAACAGGTTCGTCCAAAAGCTCGGATCTTCGGGGCTCGAGGGGTCTCTTTGGGTTTCCAGAATGAGGGCTGTATAAAACTGCGAGGGTTGCGGATTGGAGCTCAAACAGATTTTCCTTGGAACCAGCACTCCGGCGTTGGCAGTCTTGTCAAGGAGCTGAAAACCCCCCCGAAACCAAGAGGGCTGAGCTAAAAGTAAGCTGCTGGCGACCTGCTGAAACTCAGAGTCTCTGAAGATGGCAGACATGTCCTGCAAGATGAAAGCGTTCGAGGCTTCGAACCCCGATCTCGACATTACAGCGTTGCCTGCGGTGGGGGCTTCTTCTCTCGCATGACATGCGAGACGCGTGCTGGACGCTTGAATCCTGGCCTGCATGCGATAGTCCCTGGAGCCCTCGTCTGCCTCATCAAGCTTGAGGTTGCGAAGGGACCTCGCAGAAGTTTTAAGGTGTCCTAAACCCCTAAACCCCTAACCCCTAAACCCCTAGACCCCTACACCAGTAAACCCCTCAACCCCTAAACCCCTAAACCCCTGAACCCCTGAAACCCTAACCTCTCAGCCCTAAACCCTAAACCCCAACAGCCCTTCCAAGGGCGCCTTCGCACGAGCCCTGCGCTAGTCACCCCCTGGGTCACTGGTGCTCTGCTTCAAGGGCTTAGGAAGAACGAGGCATGCCGAGTTTGCTTCCCTTGCTGTGCAAGGATCTTAGGGTAGTCTCATGGTCCCTTGTTATGGGGCCTTAAAAGGGGACCCCCTTATGAACCCCCTAGATACCTGGTACAACCAGTGCAAGGAGGCGGTTACTATGTAGGTATTGGGAACCAGTCCAGCAGCATGCTGGCAATGAGCCTGTCCATCACAAGGGTTGCCGACGATATACCACCTGTGTCCTGCGCGGAAACGTAAGAAAGTTACTTCAGAATTGTCCAGCAACACTTGCAGGAACATCTCAATGGCAACCGCTCTGCACATAAAGCAAGCCCACCAATGAGCTTCAAGGACATTATATGTGCCCCGTCTCAACAATCAACTCGCCTGAAACCTACGAACCCTATAAAGCTTGACCTCTCACAGGCCGACGCTTACAATTGTAAAGGGGGGATGCCCTATGTTAGGTGCACTTGTCGAACTCAAACTAGAAGGGGACATGCGGTCATGGAGAAGCAAACAAGGCAACACATGGAAACACAATTCTAAAGGAGTTTGCTTACTAGTTTCCGCCTCGTGGCCCGCACCGCAACACCCCAAACCCCCAATTCGTGTCCTCATCGATCAGTTGGACAACCATACCCTGCATGGCTTCCTGGCAGGAGTGGTGCTCAGGTTTGGCTTTTCAGGAACAACATGCAGCCGAGCCTAGCAGCGAAACTTGAATGAAACTCTCAAACCTAAACCACCCATCGAAAAACAGGCTGCAAAAGCCAGGAGGCCAGAAAATGGTGCTCCAGATTGAGAAATCTCAGGTTAAGCAACCGTGGTCGCTGATGTCGAAACCCTACAACCTGTAAACCACATTCAGCCACCACAGCTGTGCATGGTGGCTCATGGCAAGGCCACTTGACTCGGAAACTGCCACAACCTTTCAAAGGGTTTAGGGTCTTGGGTTTAGGGATTCTTCATGAGCTGCGCGTTCTCTTCAACAGAAACTCGCCTCGCACCTCTGTCGAGAAACTGGCACACATGGCATATTGGGGCCCAAAAGCAGCACTGAACGACAGGTGCCCCCAATCGTCATTCCCAAACAGCTCGAGCTTCCATCTTGGGATGTTCCCCCTTATGCTAACAGTCCTTAATAGGGATTATAGTAGGCGGGACTACAATCCCTATAAAGGACGGTTAGTATAAGAGGGAACATCCCAACTTCCCTCTTGACTTGAGTCTGGAGAGGTCTTGAGGACTTCTGCTTGCCGGCTGTTTTGATGTACAGGGTTTAGGGTTTAGGGTTTAAGGTTTAGGGAATATCCACAACCAACTGAAAACTACAACCCGTCGCAAGCAACAAGTAAGGTCAACCAGGAGCCTGGCCTTTGCGAAAAGCTTGACGGCCTGTTGGAGGCGCGCCTGAACGACAGCTAGCAGGATTCGGGAGGCTTCGGGTCGGTTTGAGGTTTAAAATTCAGGGCTTAGGGAAGCTCAGCGATTAGAGTATTGCAGGACAGGTGCACCAAGAGCCCAGGTTTAGGGTTTAGGGTTTGGGGTTTGGGGTTTGGGGTTTGGGGTTTGGGGTTTGGGGTTTCGGGTTTGGGGTTTGGGGTTTAGGGTTTAGGGGGATCTGTGATCATGGCTTGGTTCGTGGATGAGATCCAACCTTTTGTTGACCCCTCCAGGGCTCACGTTTAGGGTTTAGGGTTTAGGGTTTTGGGTTTAGGGTTTCGGGTTTAGGGTGAACCCTTAAAACTCGAAACAACCTCTCCGCGCACTTTCGAAAGCCAATCTAAGCCTCCCTCTCAGAGCCCCCTCTTCCCTCTCCCTCTCGTCCCTTTCCCTTAGGCTCAAAATGGCCCAAAAACCCAATTAATTTGGGCCAAAAGAAGAGTCCTTAGAGCCTTCGGGTTGAAGCCCCCCCGAACCGCGCCGCAGCAGCAGAGCACTCAGCAGCCTCATCTTCCGCCTCCCCTGAAGAGCATCTCAGAGCGTCCCAAAAACCCTAAACCCTAAACCCTAAACCCTGAACCCTAAACCCTAAACCCTAAACCCTAAACCCTAAACTCTAAACCCTAAACCCTAAACCCTAACCCTAAACCCTAAACCCTTTTTCAAAACCCAAAAGGCCGACCTTCTCGGCGTTTTGGCCCGTGATCCCGAAGCCCGCCCTGGGTGCTGCGGCTGCACTGAGGAACTTAGTGGGTTTAGGGTTTAGGGTTTGGGGTTTAGGGTTTAGGGTTTAGGGGGTTCTCTAGACCCGAGTCTAGGGTTCGGGGTTTCGGGTTGAGGGTTCGGGCTACCTAAAAAGGGAATAAGTGCCTACTCTGGGTCCTAGTTATGTAGTACAGAATAAAGTACCCTGAATGCGGTATACCAGCGTAATATACATATACATATACACACATATATCTGTATATCCATATATATATATATACATATAGAGAAAAGAACAGAATGTCCTTACTTAGGCTACCATAGTCGGGTCACATCGTACATGATATCGGGTCCTTGTTATGGTATCCGGCTTCATAGCTCCAAAGCAAGAGCCCGGTCGATAGGGCCCATGGGCAGATGTGGGGGTTTCGTTCAGGGTTTAGGGTTTAGGGTTTAGAGTTCTGGGAATCCTGCAATTTGGGGTGTAAATTGGGGGCCACACTCCCCGGAAACCTTCAGTGAAGGTCTTTTGATTTCCAGAGTAGGATGTTGGGTTAGGCAGTTTAGGGCTCACCGAACTTGTAAGTGCTTCAGGGTTTCTGGGTCAAGGCGATTCTGATGGCAAGGTTGGGAGTTGAAAGGGCTTCCGATGCGGAGTTGAGCTTTTCTGCTCGGATCTATGGTGCCAGGTTACCTTGAGGGCTTCCCTGGGGTTCTACGATTTCCGGAGGTTTAGGATGTAGGCATCCACCTTGTGTGCTCCCCATGAGACCGTCAGCAAAGCTGGTGCCTGATGGGTGGTACTTCGGCATGCCGCGGGGGCGGCAAGGCCTCTTCAGCAAATCGGCTTCAGGGCTTTTAGGGCTGTATCCGTTTTTTTTGGTTTTGGCTTTTGCTGGGTTCTGTGGTTGTCGGGTTTTAGGGTCTAGGGTTCGGACGTCGGGAGTTTAGGCTTCGGGACAGATGGACAAGAGGCTCGGGGACGACATGCTCAGAGTTTGCTGGTTCCCCGTTGATTGTATTGTATGTAGCTGATACCCTGTCCATCTAACCCTAAACCCTAAACCCTGAACCCTGAACCCTAAACCGACGAGCCCGTGGCCCAGTCCCTACGCCCCTAAGACCCGAAGCCCTAACCCTAAACCCTAAACCCTACACCCTAAACCCTAAACCCTGGACCCTAAACCTAAACCCTAAACCCTAAATCCTATCCCAGAACCCTGAATCATGGATTGAATAATTTTGGTCCTCTGCGTTGGGCCGGCTACAGTCCTTCCAGGGTCGAGGGGTCGCGATTCTGCTGGATGGACCGTCCTATTGTCCCTTCTGATGCCCCGGAGCCCCAAACCACCCGAAGCTCCGTTTCCTGAACCCGAACTCCTATACTAAACTGCATCCTAAACCCTAGACCCCAAACCCTAAACCCTAAACCCTATGAACCCTATGAACCCTATGAACCCTATGAACCCTATGAACCCTATGAACCCTATGAACCCTATGAACCCTATGAACCCTATGAACCCTATGAACCCTATGAACCCTATGAACCCTAAGGCCACGGCCGGGGTGCGCTCCTCCTCTTCCTGGACCTCACTGAGCGCAAACGCCTCCAGGCCGCAGCTTTTCGTAAATCCGGTGTGCTTTGGGGCTCTGCGGGCTTAGGGTTTAGGGCTTAGGGGTAGGGTTTAGGGTTTAGGGTTTAGGGTTTAGGGTTTAGGCTTTAGGCTTTAGGCTTTAGGGTTTAGGGTTTAGGGTTAAGGTTAGGTTTAGGTTTAGGTTGTAGGGCCCCTGTAAGCCCTAGTTCCGAAGTTGAGGGCTTCAGGATGTTGAAGAAATCTCAGCTTGTGCCTGTGGAGGGGTGGGAGCTTTTCCCCCGAGTCCCCTGAATTACAACCGCGGACGCCAAACAGCCTCAAGCCCTCAAACCCTCAACAGTTTAGGCTAAACCTCTGCGCTCAAAGTCCCCAGAGCCTGCCTGGAAGTTCGAGTGGGTGGCGGAGCTGAGCGGCACAGCCCGCACAAACCTGGGCCATCATCCGGGTACGAAGAAACAAAAAACCCTGAACCCTAAACCCTAAACCCCTAGAACCCTAAACCCCTAGAACCCTAAAACCTTATCAATGAGAGTCCTTTTGGTGGAGTCTAGGCAGAACTCCCAGGGTTCCTGCAAGTTGGAGCACCCCTAACCGACAGAGAAGGGGTTTGGAGCTCTAGTTTGCAACGTTTGCCGCCTTGTTGGCTTTGAAGATGTAAGACGTAGAGTTTAGCGTTTAGAGTTTGCCTTCCATCCAAGCTATGAAAGCCCACGATCCCGAAACGGCGCACCATGATATAGGATGGCAGGGGGAGCTCTAAATTTGGAGGTACCCGTTTGGGGGCTCCGACTGTAAGGGTAAGAGCACGCAAGGGTACACCTTTTGGAAACCTCTGAAAGCCCTGCAGCTCCCAAAACCTCTGAATCTCCGCATACACGCAAACCTAGTGCCCAGTCCCTGATGCAACAAAACAAGCATGGAACCTCTGACCAAGTCCTGAACCATATAAGCCAAAACCCCTAAAGAGACCGCCAGACCCCACGCAGTCACACTATTTGTGAATACCCAAATAAGGGTTTCCGAAAACAGGGGTACCATTTGTGGGTGTCCATTCAAGGGGGCTCTGTTTGATTTGGGGTAACAAAAGGGGGTACCCCTACACCCTAAACCCCAAACCCTAGGCCCAAATACCCTGACACCCAATCAAACCCCAAGGCGATGGCTCTGTTGAGTTTTGCTCGCCCTGAGCCTCGTCATGGCAGGGGTTCGAGGGAAAGGTCAGGGTTTAGGGTTTGGGGTTTGGGGTTTGGGGTTTAGGGTTTAGGTTTTAGGGTTCAGGGTTTAGGGTTCAGGGTTATAAGTTTTGCATCTCCTTTCTCGGCACCCGGAAAAAAACTGAGATTGTGGATTCTTGCTCTTGGTGCCCTACCAGAAAGGGAATGCGCTGACTTGATGGATGCCCGCCGAGGGGCCATCATATTGATATTCAATCAAGATCAACCAACCCCCCTCCCCCCCCAGGCTAGGCTAGGGATTGCAAGGCACTGCTTTGGCTGTAGGAACTTTAGGATTTGGGCTTACTACCTTACTCCCACCAGAAAGAACGTCATTCCATGATTCTAAACAGTACGGAAGAGGTGCCAACCTTGTCCGCGGTCCATGGTTTGCAGCACCAGGGGAACAGCATGGCCTCAGGTACTCGGAGCACGGCAACTAGGAAGGTCTTCGTAGGGTTCAGGGTCTGGTGCAATTTGGGAATTAATCCTGCTGGAATACTTAAGCTGGATCAAATTTAAAGAATATTGTAGCTAAACATCTGTGTAAACGGGATCGTTGATCCAACGAGGTGCGGTTAGGGCGTCAGCCCAGCACAGGCACAGCGCATTGCTGGCAAGGCACCGTCGACTCCGTCGATGCCAATCACGCCCATGGCGATAAGGGGAAAGGATTCGTCGGTTAGGGTGGGGGTTTGAGGGCTTCAAGATTCTAGTCATCATGAGGGAACCCTGAACAGTGTTGCTGTAGATCTGTGCTTTCAATGTCGAACACTTCCCAGGACCTTACAGGAGGGTACGTGCGGGTGCTGGGCGTCGCTGTGATTCTGACAAGGCTGGGCTGCATGCTCCTGCGCTTTGCGTGCGCGGGACTGTGAACCTGCACACGGCCGGCCCCGCCTCGCAGCCCAAATATGGGGGCCTTAATAATTAAAATAGGCTTTTGGGGGTGATTAGAGTATACTTATACAGGGACCATCAGGGAATGCTATTTGTAATTATTCCGACCGATATATTACACCAGCCAATAGTCTCAGACCCCAAGGAATGTTCCTTCCATCGTGCAGATCACGATAAAGTGTTCAGGGTGTGTTAGGTGTATTCCCAACGAAGGGATACATTCGGGCTCACTGGTCCGCCGTTTGGGGTTTAAAGGTTGCAGAGTTGTTAGACCCTCAACCCTAAACCCGAAACCCCTTAAGGGCTTGGATCTGGCAGCATTGGCCCAGTCCTCCACTGCAGAGTTTCCTTTGACCCGAGCGGGCACCTTGGATGCAGATTTCAACGTCCTCGTTAGCTTACGTACCGGGTTTAGGGTTTAGGGTTTAGTTTATGCGCCATTCTTTTAAACTGTTTCATTATTGGCTTTGTTACTCGGGGAAAGGGTGGCGTCCGTATTGTTTAAGATTAGAAATCCTAGCAAAAGCTCGACAGTTCAAGGCTTCAAAGATACAGTTCAAGCTGCTTCTTTAGTGGGCATGGGCTGGGGTGTTTCGGGCTCCGGGTCGACTTTTGTGCTGCAGATTACGATCGGACTTAAAATGGCTTTTCGTGCCGAGCCCGCTGTCTGCACCTGAAATATGATCCATAGAAGCAACAGCGTATCGACACCAAGCCATATGAACCCTGTACTGGAGATCCTGAACTTTCAAGTTGACCCCAGCCTTGCCAGGATCGGAGAAAGCGATCGACGCAAAGATGAGAAGACAAAGCGGAACGCCCGCTTGAAAAGCCTGCAAGGCTTACTTGCCTAGTCTCCAAACAGGTCGATACAGGGGTCTTAATCATGAGAATCGGGTTTTGGTAGTGTCATTACAAAGGGACCATAAGGGAACATTTTTAGTCATTATTCCGCCCCAATTAAAGCATGCTTCACAGAACCCAATAAAAAACCAGCCATGGGACGCACGCGGCAGAGGGAGTCTGGGATAATGTACACGTCATTGGGGTGGATGTGCGGGCGACGAAAGATCAAACTTCTGCTGGAAGGAAAAACAGGGCCATATGGGGGTTTACGACAACAGGGCTACCTTATTGGGGTCCTTAGCATGAAGGGGTCCTACTATTTGGGGGTCTGTATTTGGGATCCCATATCTTCGTAAACTCCCGTATTATAGAGATTAGGGCCTATAGAGTTTCAATTCAAATCAAGCTCCAGTACAAAGGGCCGGCTTTTTTTTTGCTGGTAAGGTTCGTGTTGGGTTGAGGCTTTAGGGCCTCGGGCCTTAGGCGTTCTCAGGAAAGTAGGCCCCTGAGACCCTGAAAGCGCTACTAAGCCTTATCAAGCCGAACCCTATCGACCCCAAACCCCAGTCAAACGTTGCGAAACTCCTAACCTTGCCTTTTCGCCTGGTTCTTAGTAGGGAACGAGGGAATGAGGGCCCTATATAATCCCTTAAAGGGAGGAGCAAAAAGGCCCCCATTCCCTCATAAGAACCAGCCAGTTTTGGGAGCAAACTTGCACTTGGAAGACGGTTGGGGCTGCACAGCAGCTGTGCTTCTGAAATCCTAAACCCTAAAACCTAAACCCCAAACCCCAAAACGGATTATAACCAGGGTACTATAATCCCTATTCAGGACTGCTAGTATAAGGGGGAAAATCCCAAGTTCTGGTACTGGAACGGATTTCGCTGAAACATGAAATCCGACGGAACCACCCTTCCCCGCGCCAGCGACGTGTTGGGCAGCAGCGTTGCTGCAGCAGTGGAGAGGTCTGTCAGATACCTCGAGGTTTCGGGTTTAGGGTTTCGGCATTCAGGGTTTAGGGCTTTGGGTTTAGGGGTGAGTTTAACTGCTGGTCAACAGACTACAGACTCTAGCAGCCCCACATCCGCACAAGTCCGGCCTCGGCACTCTAAAACCCCACATGCAGTGGAAGGGTAAGCTACAACTCAACAGGGCCTTATATGGGGGCTTCCGAAATAATGGACCTCTCATATAGACCGCAAATTGTAGGATCCCCAATTTCGGACACCCCCATAAAGCGACTGACTCACCAGTCTATGGGTTCACTGTAGGTTTGTGGTACCCTGCACTATAGAGTCGCGTCGGACTTATAGATTTACAAGTAACTTGCATGTTATAGTATAATTTTCTGTGTTGGGTGACAAGCCTCATATCTTTATCATATCTTCAAGCTAAGTTATGTAAACTGACGCCATACTTGTGCACCAAATATGTAATTAGCGGCCACTTGGCTGCCAAGCCTCGAAAAAGTTAGCAGCAACTTAGCCAGTTAACACTCCCTTGTGGGAAATTTGTAGGCAGGAATGAGGTAGATTTTTCTTACAAATCGTGTATCTACACTCTTGTCTTTTCTTGTAATTCTTGTAAGAAGTCTATAAACTTATACATGCTGAATGCCAGATCACATCCGCTTTTGTCCCTTTATCGCAGGCACATTAAGCTTGTGTTCTCCTTGTAGTTTTTGAGCCATGTCCAGCAAATTTCGAACGCTTTCTGGATGTCCGCGAGGTGTCCGCGAATGTCCGCCAATGTCCGCGCCGAAAACGTGACGCATTCGCATAGGTCCGCGCATGTCCGCGCCAGGTCGTGTTTCTGCTGAAGTCGACGAAAACTACCTGACCGCGCATGTCCGCGTCTGCGTTTCCGAAGCTTCTGTTGTACTTTCCGTGTCCGCGCGTGTCCGCGCACGCTGTGCACGTGCAGTCGCTTGGTTTCGCCTGTGTCCGCGGCATCTCGCACCGTTGGCGTCCAGTTTGCTTGATTTCGCTATGGGCCGGATCTTGGCACGCTGCTTGCTTTGGCCCTCTCCTTTCTCTGCGCTGCGACTGTTTTCTCTCAAAAGCAGTGCCCGCCTCCTGCTCACAAGTCTCTCACCAGGACATCTTGATAACTAAAACCAAGACAATAGTGCAGAACACAAATCAGAATCACATGTGCCCAAAACCCATGAACAAAACCTAGCGAGAACTTGTGCTAGTTAAAAACAACTTACAAGTGCCTGCTAAGTTCAGACGATAACTTGTTTTTAACTTGTTGCTAAGTTCCTAAGAGGAAAGCGTCCCTATAGTGATCCCTACAGAACTCGTCCGTGACCTAGAGCACCTCACCGCGCTACGGGGAGCTTAAGAAAATTCAACGGTCTCATACACATGAATGGCCACCATGTGGAAGAGGCTCAGAGCTTAAAAACCCCCGACCGGTTGATGCAAACGAGCTTGCAATCTAGAAGAACATTTGAAGATTAGAGCCTCAAAGCCCTCAGAGTTTGTTAAGTGGGCGGTCTTGGGGCGGGCATGTCAGAGCGGTGCATGCTCACCAAGCGCGCTTGCGTTTGGCGCGCCCTAGAAACTCTCATGGCAGAGGGTGCCCTGAGCAGTCTGCGGCTCTTCTGCCCAAGGACTGAGACTCAGACTGAGGCCTTCAAACTGAAATATCTCTACGTTAAACCCTAAACTCTAAACCCTAAACCCTAAACCCTAAACCCTAATTTCTTCTGCGGCAGCCAAGAGACTCGAAGGATGCGACTGACACCTTGAGAGCTTCTTGCTCTGCGCTGGCGCGATTTACACAAGAACATCGCTTAAACGTGGCAGACTAGCTTTCAGCAGGCAGTGATGCCTGGGTTTAGGGCTTAGGGTTTAGGGTTTAGGGGTTAGGGTTTAGGGTTTAGGGTTTAGGTTTCCGGCGCTTAGCTGCAGGTTCAGATTAAGCGGATCATCTCGAGGTTCATCTTTGGGTTCTGAGGCGGTCGTTGATCAAGACTCCTAAGATCAAAATTCCTTCGAAGTATGAAAAAGCACAAGCCCCAAGCCCCAAGACCTTAGATGCGGTCGATATCAGAACCGTTCCTCCTACGCTACCTAGTTCTGCAACTGACTCAAAATTCCTGGCCCCAACTCTTGAAGCCACATGCAAGTTCGAACAACACAAACAAAAACAACAGCAGCAAAATGCAGGTTCAGGGTTAAGGGTTTAGGGTTTAGGGTTTATAGCACCAAGTCACAATACTTGCTACTGGGCGATGGCCATCGGAAGGTCCGAGGGTGCGTGATGTAGCAACCCCCAGCTCACCGAAACAATTTTACCGAAGCCCCCAAAGGAAGCTATTGATTGGACTCCGAGTTGCGCAGGACAGCCAGCAGATGGCGGGACCCCACATCTTCGCCTGGTCCCGAAGCCCTAGAAGCCCTCAAACCCTAAACCTACAACTTCAAGGGTTTCGTGGGGCCGCGCCCTCATCCGGAAGCATGTCCCCAGCTTCCGGTAAAAACCCTAAACCCTAAACCCTAATCCTAGCAAGCAGCCTCGAGACACCCCGTAGAACCATGATGAACAAATGTAGACGTATGTTCTGGATGTTTAGGGTTTAGGGTTTTATTGGGAGTGACACGTAGGTATTGTACCTACTGCTCCTCTTTGACTAGACCCAGGAGTAACCTAGGAATGA